TCATCATCATCAGCATCACTTTATACTTTAATACATTTCGAACTTGTTGCCAATTAAAATTTCATTTCACGTTCAAAGTAACTTTTATCCGTTTCTCTTGTTAGTTTTCAAGCTTTCATGAAACGACAATTGTAACCTTTAATCAGATGTTTGTGAAAGAGTAAAAGTGAAAAGATGGAAAAAGGAAGAAAAATTGTGAATTCTTTTTCTTCTTATTCAGTGTGTTTTCCTCTTAAAAAAAGAGAGAAGAAAACGTTTAACGATTCAGAATACAATCGATTATACGAACGAAGAAGCAGAAAAAAAGACAACCAAAGAAGAATAAAAGGTAATACCGAATTTGAAAGAAGATGAGAGAGATAATAGGCTGATGAAGATGAGGATGAAAGATGCGGAAAAATGTTGTAAAGTTCAGATGCGCTCTTGAATAGTTGGCCAAAAAAGATGCGTGAATATAGAGTATGTAACCAGGTAAAGAGTGTAATAAAAAAAGAGTTTAATTTGACTTTCCAATCTATTGAAGAGGTAAATAGTTTAAAGTAAGAGAAGATGAATGATGGAGCAAAGAGAAGGAGAAATTTTTAGATTTCAGGTGAAAATTGATGTTGAGTATAAAAAAGGTAGCAATGAGTGAAATGGTTCACATTGGATGTTGATTCAAAGCAACTAGTAAAAAACTTTGGGAAGTTCAGCTTCAAGTGAGACAACAAATTGCCTGCTATTCAACTTTTCATCTTGAAATTTTTTTCGTTTTCCATTTTTTCGAAACTTTTAATTTCCTTTTTTGCTTCTTTTGACGGTTAAAAGGATAATGCAATTGGATGTACCGACGGTAAATTTGAGGGTCGACGCTACTTCACAGCCAAAGATACTTTTGCCAAGTTCCTTCCGTTATCGTCTTTAACTCGAGTTGATAATATAATTGGACGTCATCGTTCAGGTAATGGTAATTATCATTTCTACGTTGTTTGGTGTTCGACGAATTGGATTTACTTTTTTAATGTGAATTTCGCTTTTCCTTCTCTCAGGAACTCTTTTATCTCGAATGTCCGTTCAATTGAAACCTGGACAATTGATAAGTGTTCAACGTGAATCTGAAAACAACTTGCCCATTCATTGTGCTCTAAACGCTCCTCATCATGTAAGTAAACCTTTTTTTTTATTGTATGTTAAACTTGAAAGGAAAAGGGAAAAATGGAAAAAAACTCGTCATCATGAAATACTATTCATCTCTACATGAATATTTCCGCTGTTTTCTTCTTCTTGTTCAACATTTTTCTCTGGCTTCGTTCGAATGATTTGTTACTGTTTTTTTTGCTACTCTGTGGTTAGTCATTGTTATGCTTTGGTCATTTCAATTGAATGAGAATAGTTGAATGAAATTGCATTTTTGTATCAACTTTGTTTTTATATTTTGTTTCTTTTTCCAGCATTTCTTTTGATGAATACATTCTTAAAGTGAGGTTACCCTTGGATCATTTGTTATCAACTTTTCCCTGTTCAAGAGTTGCTACATATTCAACTGTGATTTGGATATTTTTCATTTTCTAACTCATCATTGTTGTTGTTTAACAATCTTGTTCATCATTTTCACGCAACCAAAATTGTTTCCATTCAAAAACTCGAGATATTAATAGTTGAGCTTTATTACAACATCAATTGAATGGGCAAAAGTTTACATGAAATGATAAAGTTGGATGAGAAGTGATGAGAAAATCAAGGTTGGAAGAGAGAAGAAGATAAATGTCTGTTGAGGTTATTCGGTGTTTTCCTCTGTAAATATATTATTTCCAGTTCGTAAGAAGCTTTAGCTTGAAACTGTTTACAACTTGTTTTGTTGTTTTGAATAAAAAATAAACAAACTGACAGATGAAAATAGGTAAACAAGTGAAAGTGAAAAGTGATGAAATTGAATGTAAGTTTAAGATACAAGTCTCGATATTAGCTTTCAAGTTATCAGGAATAAAACTCAATATTTGCTTGATCAATAGATGGAAATGACTTTTGCCACTTTCTCTACATTTCATTAATTTAGGTCAGAAGATTGGAAGAAATTTTACTGAATAATGATGAGGGAAGAGAGAGTGAAAAAAGTTGGACTGAACATTGAATATGGTGACAAGTTCGAGGTTGACTTTGCTTTTTCTTTTTCTTCTTCTTTTCCATTTTAAATCATTGAACAGGATTGTTGCCAGCAAAATTTGTTATTCAAAAATGAAATGAAAGACGATTTGAGTGAGAGTGGAAAAGGATGAGAATGATGATGATGATGATTAAGGTAAAGATTGTCAAGTCATCTAATGGGTTGAAATGATTTGGGTGTGTAGACTTTGAGTCTGGTAGACTGTAAAAGTAGGTTGCTTTTAGGTTGAGAGCAACTAGGAAAAGATGGTTAACTTGGTTGACAATCAAACTTTTTGTCTTTCATTTTCAAAGTTTTGCAAATTCGTTGGCTTTACAAAGTTACCAATTTAATAATTTTAAATAAAATGATTACTTTGCTTTTCTTTTCGCCATTAAATCATTTCCTTGATATTCAGATTAATTCATTGTTTCAACTTTGATTGCACATTCTGATAAAATTGAGCCTCATTAATCAGAATCTGAATTAGCATTGCGAAATTGGAAATTACCGAAAAATCGAAATGTAGATTGAAGTTCGTCAAGATTTACCCATGATTTGGACATGAAAAGTTGATTGAATGGTCTGACTTGGAGTTTGGATTCTAGAAGTTCATTGAGAAAATTGTTTTGATTGAATTTTGTTCATCATTTTTGTTTTATTTGTTTTGTTTATTTAACGTTAGATTGATCATGATGTTCATGTTCCCAATATGAATCACTGTTTGTGCAATAACTGTAACCATCCTTGTGCCCATCTGTGTAAAACCAAGAAACCGAAAGGTCGAAAGACTGACATGGCTCATATGTGCCACTTTTCCCAGAAGCCACACAACAAACTCTGTTGTGGAGGCGAAGAGTTGCTTTATAGTCTTGCAAGTGCCCAAGACTTGGAGATGGCCATGAATGGTTCACCTCAAGTTGGCGATTGTCCCAGTCATGGACGACGTCGACTCAATTCCAATTTGTCAAGTAATACAACAAACAATGGAGAGTCAACTTCAGGTGCACCAAACGGATCTCATCGACGTCGATCAGGACGTTCAGATGCATCTCGAAGGCGATCCTCGGGTTCATCGTCGACCATTCGTCGTTTACGTGATAAATCAAGGCGAATCAGTTCAGCGCCAACATCAACCGAAAGAAAAGCAGAATCACAAACCAAGAGTGAAGGTGAGGTGGGCGGTGGAAATGGAACTGGACATCAGGCTGGAGATGATGAGCAAGAGGAAGGTGAAAGGGAAGAAGAAGGTCAAGTAATCATTGGACTTGGTAAAGGTGCTGATTGTGAGGAAGGTTTAATGTCGCTAGATTCTCGACCCAACTTTGCCTTGTGTAAACTCAAGTCAGCCTCTGAACTGTCCATTTCCAGTTTACCTTCAACAGCCGCTTCACAGGTTGAAGTTTACATTGCAAGAGGTGCGCTTACCGATGAATCCGATTTGGATGATGACGATGAGTACGGTGATGAGGAGGATGAAGAAGAAGACAATGCCGATGATGACGGTTGTTCAAGTGGCCTTGTTTCCTCACAGGGAAGACGCTACCTTAAAGGCTCAACCCATGGTAAACGGTCAACTCGTAATCAACGTCGCCGTCGTCGCCGTCAACTGCGAGTCGGTGCCAGTGGAAATTGTTCACGTTCCATGACAACCTTGACTGGACGAAGTTCGCGCAGTTCACGTCGTCGAAACAGTTCAGATGGAGGCGGCACAGGTATTGGTCATGGTGGAGACGATGACTGTTCGCGTTCTCGACGATCGGGTAAACGAAGTGGCCTTAGATCACTTGTATCGTGTTTAGTGCCTAGCATACCAAATTCATACAAAAAGAATGATAAATCAAGTAAAAAGGGTAAAAAGACAAAGAACGGACAGAATAATCGTCGATCGAAAAATGCCGATAATCCAAGTAAACGTACATTAGACAACAACAGCAATTGTGATTCACCCTTTTACCATTACTCCCATTACCCTTGTTCATGTGATGGTCAATCCACATTCATTGACCCAATGGGTCCAATCGATTCCAACGGTCATCCACTTGTCTACAGTTTACAAGATCAACATTATTTATACTCTTCCCATCATCACTATCATCATCCTCTTCATGCATCCCACAATCACCAGCAACATTCAACTGATCACAGACATCATTATCATCATCAACAACAGCAACACAGCTCTAGTTATCATCATCATCATCATGCACATCGTCATCAACAGCAACAAAACTCATCCAAGCAACTTGCGCACTTTAACTCAACTAACAACCGGCAGCAAAATCACTCTTCATCCTCAACTCATCATCAACATCATCATCACCAGCAACAGCAACAGCAGCAGCAGCAACAACAACAACATAACTGTGCTCCTCAAGCAACAACATGTTCATCATCTTTATCACGTCGTTCCCGACAACGCAAATATCATGGCCTTTCAACAAGCCCTGAACCTTCGCCATCAGTTTCAGTTAAAAATCGTTCCTCACTCCAACACTCTAACCTTCATCAACACCATCACTATCCAGTTGAAGATAACCTTACCTTTGGTGTTGGCGTTGGACTAGCAGGTCGAGCCAGTCCTTGTGGTCACTTTTATTATTCACCTTGTTCCGTTAGTGCCTCACAACTTTCAATTGGAGCTTTGCAAAAACATTTATCAACAACAACAATCAGTAAATCACAAGCAACCAAAGGTAAAGAAAACTCTCAATCGAAACACCGACAACCAAATAGTCCACCTAAAGATCAAGTCGACTCCAACACCAATCAAGAGCAAGGTTCAAAAGGTTTACAAAGGTTAGTCGATTTAGATGACAATTTATGTGAATTGACACATAAAACTGTTGATAATAATATTGAAATATTGAGTGATTTAAATGCAAAATCCAATTGTCTATTAACATCATCACCACCTTGTTCAACTGAAAAAACAAACCTCATTGAAAGTGCCCTAAACAACACCAATAAAGATTGTTTAATTAACCTTGATTCAAACCATTCAAATAATTTGGTCAACAACAAGTCAGCCAACAGTAAAAGTATTGAAAATAATTATACAAATCACAACAATAGCAATAACAATAAATACAACCGAATCAATAATGAAGTGAACATTTCATCCAAATCAAGTAACCATCATTCATGTAATGGAATCAATCACGCTTTTTCACCGCGTTTATATGAAAGTAACTCAATAGGATCACCTGGATTTGACGGACGGCTCATTGGGACAGCAAACAATATCAACTATCAATATCAACAGCAACAGTATCGACATGAGCCAACATGTTCACCATCAAGTTCAACAACGAAAACAACAGCCAATGGCATCAACGGTGAGAATGTCTTAACTAATGAGAATAACTGTAGCTATAATGATAATACTAATTATGATAATGATAATAACAGTAATTATGATGATGATAATTATGATTATAGAAAGAATAGGGATGAAAAGAATGAAATTACAAATGATAATGAGATGGATTGTAATGAGAGTTCAATGAGTGAACAAAATAATCATAATGTTATCCATGATAGTAGTAATAGCAATAGTAATAGAAAGTTGAACAACTTTAAAATCGAGGTTGAACTAACCTGTTCTCCATCGGTACAGTCTTACACAAGTAGCAGCATGATATCACCACGACGTAAGCGTAAAGGACCGGCACCACCACCGCCTGTTAACAGGGTCACTGCATACACTTCATTTCCATCGATACCTGGTCCATCTGGAGTCAATGTGTCTCCCTTTACTTCACCCTCTTCCTCTGGTTCATCACCGTCAGCCTCACAGCCAGCAACACCGTTACACTCAACCTCACAAGGTGAACCCTCAACACCGTCAACCTCATCATCACTGCTCTCACCCTCGTCTTATCCCATCCTGGCTCCATCAAACTCACAGTCATCTTCAATCTCTTCAGGTCCCTCAACATCAACCTGGCAAAGCCATTCAACAACTCAGTCAATGGGTCGCAAAAAGTCAATTAAAACCAAACCGGCCCCAAGTCCACCTCCACCCTTGCCTCCTTTACCACCCATAGCCTCTGCATCTGAGATGCAACGATCATCACCGACAAAGCCTACTGTTAAAACTCCAACTGCAACCAACAAAAACAACGACAATGGTGCTAGTTCATTTGTTCAAAAGTCATCACCAAGAACGCCTTTATCAGTCAACATGATACCTACTAATTGCACTTCCAATAGACCTTCAACCTGTCAACCTGTCATCAAATGTTTACCCTGTCGATCACACTCCGTTCCTGTATGTCCAATGGTCACTTTAACCCGTTCCTTATCCGATCAGAAACAAATTAATGTTAAAAATATGCTTAAATCCGTTGCCTCGTATTCATCTGATCTTGCCTTACCTCAATCAACAGTTGGTTTAATTGCATCCAGTCGAGCAATTCAACAAACCTTGGAAAGTGATTCAATCATAATTACCTACGATGAACCCGATTATCTTTACCCTATTCATCATGGTTTAGCTAATTGTTATTCATCTTGTGAAATACCTTATAACATCTCATGTAACACCAACAGTCCCAATTACATAGGAACCAATAATGGTAGCAATAATTTACTTATGGTTTGTAAAGAGGATGCAAAAGTAGCTAACAATATAAACTGCAAAATGAATGATAAAGGTTTACGAATGAGACAGAAAAGTCAATCATTTGAATCAACATCATTACCCACATCACCAATGCACCAAAAGTCAATCACAGATCGTCCACCTCGACCTCCTCGTCCATCCTCAATAGTAAATTACAAAATGATTAACCGATCCCATCCAGTGATACCAATACGTACAAAGAGACGATCTCTAGTAGGATCAACATGTTGTACCCATGGATGCAGACCAGATACGTTGACTTTAAAGGAAAGATCAGGTTCACTTCCATTGCGACCACGTTCACTACCAGCAAGTCCAATAAGCAAACCGTATCAAGGCTCTTCATCAACATTACCCTCACCCAAGTCAACCTCATCAACCCAATCAAACCTAACCTTTACCCGAGACAAAACACTGTCTGGATCCTTTTCAGGTTCAACCAACCAAGGCAACACTGGCAACATCAATCCCAGTCACACAATGTGTTCAATAGGCTGTCTAACAAGCTGTTCATTGTGCAGTCTAAGTGGACTTGATGGGACAACCTCAACCTCAACAAGCAACCCTACAGACCAGAGTGCACACTTGAATTATCCAAGTAAAGATGTTCATGTTAATCATGATGATGATGAAGACAATTGTAGCAACATTTATGAAGAAATTGATTTCACTTCAATATCGGAAAATGTTGCTGCATTGGTAAGTCCGCGGCAATTAATTAACCCTAATGCTGTTAATAATGTTTCCCGTAATCACCTGCAAGATGAAAGTGAAAAGGATAAAATTGCAAATGATTTAGTAAATTGTGATGAGAATAATAATGGCAACAATAACGTTGATAATGGTAATGATATGGTTATTACATGTAATAAGGAGCCAAATGTTGTATCAATTGATAGTACAAGGCGATTATCATCATCAAGTGGACCTCAAGCCAACAACAGTGGAGGTGAAATTTTATCTGATACTTCAGATGATCGAGTAACTGTTAAATCAGTAAACATAAAACCCTGGGCTTATTCAACTTCATCCCTTGATAGTGAACAATCAACAACATCAAGTGGATCAACGGTTAAACAATGGAATAATCAGATAATCTATTCTTCCCATCATCACCCCTGCCACCCTCACCATGAACAACACCATGAAAGCCAGTCACCAAATTATCCTCATCACCATCATCATTACGATCATAATCACTCTCATCATTCTGATGCACTTTCATCACCATGTTTTCATGGAAATTATTCAGACTTTTATCAGGGTATTGATCATCCTCATCCATTTCATCATCCACATTCCCATCATCATCACCAAGCTCACCACTTATATCCTTATCAAATGACAAATAATCATCTTCTACATGCAAGTCTAGATCATTGTCATCACTGTCCATATCACCATCATCACCATCACCATGCTCCTCGTCAAATGATTACCACAAGTACCTCTGATCATTCCCTGTCTTCACTTTCCTCCAACTTTTCGGAAGATCCAGCAACACCGACACCGCCAATGATGACTCTCGATGATTACACTTTTCACAGTTCCAACTTTACCTTTACACCAGAAGATCATTATCTTGTTTCACCTTGTTGCCCTGAACATTTGGATGAGCAAGATGAAGATGATGTCATTAACGATAAAAAGGGTTCTCTGAAACATTCAGATGACAAGGAAGAGGAAGTTAATGTTGCCTTTAAAAATGAAGTTAAAAATGGATTTGGCTTGATTCCATGTTATCCTCAACCTTTTTACCCGATTCCAGATTTAGTTTGTGATAAAGAGACGAATGAAGATGAGAATGACGATGATGATGAAGATGAGGAAGATAATGATGATTCTGTTGGAAAAAGGTTCAACAAGATGACTTTAAAAGAGGATAAAGGCGAGCAAGTTAAGGAAGATGATGAAAAAGGAAAAGAGAAAAAATTATTGGTTAATTTTAAAAGTTCATCTGTAAGTTCATTGAAAAACAGTGTTAAATCAAGTTGGCCAGTGAAAGGTAAAGATGCAATTCCATCCCTGTCATCATCACCCACATCATCATCTCCATCATCAGCCCATCAACCAGCAATATTTTCACCATTTGTTAAACCCTTAAAAGATAACCAGTTGAACAATTCAGTTCACAATTCAAACATCAATTGCTATTGTCATCAATGTTTCCTTCCTCATTGTGCTAAATCAACCTTCAACTCGACTCATCACAATTTGAACCATCAAAGAAAAGACACTTTTAAAGGTAAATTCAATTTAATCAATTTCAAAAGTCGAAAGTAATTAGTCAAATTGTTTGACCAAAATTAAGTTCAGGTTCAAGTTCAAGTCTTTATTCAACTGGAATCCATTCTTAGTTTCATAAGCTTTGATTGTTCACCAATGACACTAATTTAATCATTTATCATGTGCTGTACATTTCTTGTTCAACATCGATTTTATCGAAAGAATCTTAGCTATTTTTTGGACCAAAATTTTCTTCGAAAGAAATTTATAGCTAAATGAAATTTTATCCAATCGATTGAGAATTTATCTCTTCTTAGACAACTTATATCACGCTGGAAAGAATGAAAATAGTCTTAGATTTTTTTTTCTCGAAACTTTTTTAATGTAATTTTCGATTCTAACATTTTTGTTAACAAATGAAATTTTTTCCTCTTTTCTTGTAAGATGAACTTGAGGCTTTCAGAAACAAGAAGCTCGATTCTTTAATGCTTTAACTCTGAACAGACTTTCCACTCAACTAAAAGTTTGCTCAATAAATTGGAAAATCGTTTTTTTCTTTGTAAAAAGTTCGTCGGATAAATTTTCAGAACTTTGTTGACAAAAATTCCGAAAAGCAAGTCGTTCATTTCAAAATCCACAAGAAATTATCTAATTTTTAGCAAAAAACAAGTTTGAATCTGAATCGAATTAAAAATGGACTTTTCATTAAGTCTTTCAAAGATTTGTGTCAAAGCTCAAAATATTGATTTCAAATTATTTATGAAAAAATGAATGCAAAATTAGTTGAATTCAAAGGTACATAGGTGTAGATCGGAGTTAGATTGGAGTTTCTTTCGTTTAGGAAGTTATCAATTGGAATGAAAAATTATATCAAAAAACCTTTTTAAAAGTCAATCTCTTTTAATGTTCGTCAATAAGATTGAATACAAAATTTACTCAATGAACTATCAATGTAATTATTGTAATATGCAGGGAATGAATTTGCGATTTTCTTTGCTTTCCATTTCCTAGTTTCATTTCTTTCATCCATTGATACCAATGGAACCCTGTACCTTTGAATCTTCACATTGACTTTCATATATTTATACGCATTTGTCTTGCATGCTTTTTGATTCAATATCATTTCCGTTATTACAAACCACAAAAATTAGATTTCCGATTCAATTGATACTGACATTGGTCAACTTGAAATGAGTTATTACAATATCATCCCAAAGCTATCAGATGAACGCTTCAATGACAATAAATAATTTTCAACATTTTATCCAATCTCTTTGATTAACATAAAAATGGATCATCATGATTCCCTTTCATCCAAACATTACCATAAATAATCTGAAATCATTTCTTTTCCCTAACGAACATCAGAATCACCTTCTAAAATGGCTTCTTCTTGGGACGGTTCTCTAAGTGGTGCCGGAGGATGCAGCAGTGGTGGAGGTTCTGGTGCAGGCGATGATTCAAATGAAAGTTCAACTCATCAATATCAAAGTCCAAATGGTTCTGCCAGCATTAATCGTTTGATGCAAGAACTGCAATTGGCAATTAGTTTTGGTCAACATCGGAAGGCTGCTTTGCTCGCTCGACAATTGGCTTTGAGAAAAGTTTCCTGTACTTTTAATCAATCACCAAATTCAACGGCAATTGATGATCAACCCATCATGTAAGTAAGAAAAGTAAACCCTTTCGCCACCTTCCATCATCCTTGCCCTCATTCTCATTCCAATCATCATCATCTTCTTTCATCTGATCATTGATTTGATCAACCCAAAAACTCTTCACCAAAAGTTATCCATTAAAACTTGAGAGGGTAACATTTCTCTCTTTTCTCCCTCTTCTTAATGCACTGCAAAACCCTCACAATTTCATGATCAATTCCCATCCATTTTCAACCCTTTTCTCCCCTCGATTAACTTTCCAATCAATCAGTTTCCGGTTTTTTCTTCCTTCATTAACCTTTCATCATTATTATCATTCATTCCTATTCATCAGTTAATCTAGTCCAAAAGTTCAAAAACTGAATCGCCAATTTGCTCGCTTCATTAGCAAAGACAACATCAAAAGTATCATTTTAATCATGATATTAGTTCATTAATTTTCTTCCAAATTCATCAATTTAAATGAGAAGAGAAAAGTCAATTTTCGAAACTTTGCAGTTTCCAAATAATCTTTATTGGAAAATCAAGTTTCCAGAAAAATTCTGTTCCATCAATATTCGTCTCTGTATAATTAGTGTAATTACATTGGAATAATCTTCAAGTCTAATTTTCTTTACCAATGCTGAACATAACATTCAATGAACACTTGCATTTGCAATCAAAACTTTTACAATTGTTATTACCATTTGACTATCACATTATTATAAACTCATCACAATTACCTAATTACTGTTAATCAACCCTAACTCGAGCAGATTATAACTAACACAATGATTATAATTATTATACAAATTGATGGTTATCCTATTTAATTGAGTCTCTCAGTTGGTTAAAGGTAAAAATTAGAAACGTTTTTTTGTTCGTCTTTGCAAAGGTAATACAGAGAAACAATCAACATTCAAAACATGTAATTAACTAGTAATTTAACTAAATTGTACTTGAGTTGCAAAGAAGCCAGTATCATGCAAATGATTCAGCTTATTGAACTTTTCTTAAGTTGAAGTATTTAACAGTTTTTTTACTTTCGTTTTTTAATTATTTATCAAAATTTTATTTCGTTTCCTTCAATTAACATCAACAATATTGAAAGTGTTCATGAAATAGAAGAAAAAAAGATTCTGATTAAATAACTTCTCTTTCAATTAACCAGAGTTTACCTTTACATTGAAGATAAACAATCACGTCAAGGACCATTTCCAGTTCAATTGTATCCATCAATGACAGTTAAGATGCTTAAATTAAAGGTAAGCCAATCAATATTTATTTATCATTACTTGGTTTTACCAAAAATGTCCTCATCTTTACCCTCTCATTGGTTCAATATTGACTCAGAAGAAACTCGTTTCATGCAATTTCCTTGCGCTGTAAAAGTATAATTGAGTGAAACCAGAAAAATCAAAACGGTTCCATTAATACGAGACAGTTTATAATCACTGGAACTTTCAGTTTTCATGTTTTAGAACAAATTTATTGTAAGTTCCAAAGTAACTCAAAAAACTCGAAACTTTTGTTTTTTCAAAAAACCACTTTTCGTTTGTATACATATTTAAAATTGATTAACTTTGTCAAATCATGAAAATCTCTGGAAACTTTTAGATTCAAAGAAATTTTCATTTCCAAGTCGAAGCTGAACTGGAATATCAATAAAACTCATTTTCTCATGCAGTTCAGTTCTAATTTGTAATTCATGTAAAGAGAAATGCGATTTTGATTAAAGCTCTCAACTTGAATCTAGTTTTTATTTTATCGCATCATGTTCATGATTTGATTACTGAACACCAATCTTCATCAGAATCATTAAACATTCAAATGCAACTTCACTGTAATTACAACATTAATAGATGAGAAGAAAATTAATACAAAATTAAAAATGTTAATAATGAAGCTCATGATAACTGAACATTCAGTTGCAACCAATTAATTCACCAATTTGTACCAATTAGAAAATGTTCAAAATTTCAATTCAACTTTGAAATTTTATTCGAAATCAGCAAAATATTGAATTTACCTGGAACAGCAAATTCAAACGAATTTTCAAAAGTTAATTATAAATAATTTAAAAAAGGTTGAGGTTTTGTTGTAACAATAATAATGTCAGGCGTAATTTAATTAGTTTTTTTCTTGTTCACAATTCTTTGATTAATTAAGTTTGTAAAAAAGTCAACTTGAATCAACATTGACAAACTGTTACAATCAGGTTGATGAAGCAGGAAAAACTTAAAATGGTAAAGGAAAAAAAGTTGATGAAGAAAAGATGGCGAAAAAAAGTTCACAATTGTAATTGAATTCATCTTGAAAGATTACATTAATCTAATTATAATCATTGATTATGGTGAGAAGAAAAAAAATATAATTGAAAGTCAAACGTTGGATTGGTTCAATTAATTATCCAAGATACAGATTAGTTGATTTAATGGGAAAAAAAGCTGTTAGACGAAACTCGTAACGTAAGGTTAACAATTAAAATGAGCAACAAGAAAGTTAGTTGAACCATAAATTGTTTGCATTTGTCTGCTTCTCAGGCTGTGACAAAATAATCAACATTTAATTCATTTCCATGACATATTAATTGTTGACTGGTTTACTTGTTGTTAACCCATTGCATTTCATTGGCAACCCCTAATTAAACTAATCTCTTTGCTCTTTCACTTGAATTAAATCCCTTCTTGATTCCCATTTCATATTCAACCTTTTTCTGTTCAACTAACTTTATCAATTACCATCACTTTATTCAACCAGAACTGGGAGTGAAAAATCCCTGGTTCAAAAACTGGATTCTTGGGTTTTCAGGGTTGATACCATTTTATCCTCTTTAACTTTTACTTGCAATATTAATGAAAAAGGGTCAAATTAGTTGAGTTAAAAGGAGAAAATCTTTTCTTCTTTTTTTCAGTTAAATATTTATTTCCATCAAAAATCAAGTCTTTTTTTGCTGTTAACTTTTATTGTTATCAATTTGAATTGTTATTGCAATTAATTTCTGCTATTGAAGTTTAACTTTTTTTTGCCTTTTCATTTGATTCAGTATTTAATTGTAACTATTCAAGTTTCAAAGTTTTCATTTTCTTTACAAAATGTTCGTTTCATTTCTTCCTCTCAACTTTTCTCATTCAATTTCCATACTTGATTAATCTTGACTGGAAGCAAATCTTATAAATTTTCACTCTCATTATCTTCTTATTGAATCTTGTTAGGCAAATTTATTCATTTATCATTATCAAGTTAACTCGTCCTTTTCCTGCTTTTTTTACTCCTCCTTATCCTCTTATACATTTTGATTCTCATTCAATTTTCATCCTCAAAATTAACCCTTAAATTGATTATATTCGCTCTCTCTTTCCAATGAATTTCTTGTTTTCCTTTTACACAACTCAGAGATAATTTGATAATCATCATTAGTGTGAAGATGAACATTTTTCTCATTTGTTGGCATTACTTTGATTGGCATAAGAAAAGTGTAAATAATGTTAACTTTACGAACCATGTAAAAGTGTAGCAAAAAATCGCCAAAATGGTTGAGTTACAAACGTTAACTGCCACAGAAGAATCGTCCATCTCAGAATTTGAATTTTTTTATCCAATTTGACATGAAAAATGTTAAATTTCATCAAAAAATTCTGTAGGACCTCGCGTTCGGCCCGATCGTTAAAAATTTTCAGACAATTTCTCACGAACTGATTATACAGGGCGTAACAGTCGAATAGTCGGTTTTGAATCGCTAATAACTTTTTCATCCTTTGCTCGAATGCAAAAAATTTCTAAAATCAAAATATAGATAGTTGATTCGTCAAAATTCTTGATTCAGATATGTTATAAAATATTCTGCGTCCTTCCACTCATGAGTTATGACTCGAAGTCGATGTGTTAAGGTTTCATTAAAAATAAGCTTTTTTGGCTTTGAACCAGTGTCGCACTCTGTAGCTTCATTTCTTTTCTTTGACAGTCATCAAAACAAAACTTTGACTAGTTGACTCTAGTCAAAGCCGCTACATTCGTGGTTGATATCAAGATGGAATACGGACTCTCGAGATCCAATTCATCTTCAGACATTTCAGTTCGGATCAATCGATTCTTTCAGGTTACTTTAAAACTCGAGCGTATAAGGGACAGAGCACTGCTTTTATCAAAACGACTATTGCAAGCCTCAACAGTAAATTAATGTAGCACAGCGAATATCATGTCCGTTAAAAAGATGTTTCCATGAAATAGTTTCAATATTTTGCAAGATATAAATGCAGTAATATGGAAATTCAGAAAGATGTTCTTGAATGCAAAAAAAGTTATAAAAACTCAAAATTTTACAAGGAAAGCAAAAAGCATTGGAAAAGTAAAGCGTATGTTGCATCTTATAGATCTTTGTTTTCGTTCAAACTCACAACGAATATTGTATTCATTTTTATTAAAGTGACTTACTTTTGACGAACTTTTTAATAAATATATTTTTCTAACTGCAACATGATTATTTGATCATGAAAAATGATTGAATAGCAATTTTCGTGTATTTCAATTAACTCATCACTCAAGTGTTATCATTTCACTGTTTAAAACCTTTAATATAATACCCAAAACCCTCCTTTTTCAACTTTACCCTTTCCTCTGATTATCAATTTATCCTAAAAAAATGAACCCAAATTAGATGTAAGATTGAAATGAACAAATGGACAAATTGGTTGAAAATAATTTACCCTTTGAAATGAGAGTGAAATAGTTTGTAATTAATGAACTCGAAGTTTTCATGTCAACTGTAAATGTTGATTTCATTTAATTCTGTCTCTGGTTTCATCCTTTTCGCTATTAATACATTTTCACTTTTCACTGTCATCAAGTATTATTACAATCAACTGTCAATGACATTGAACATAATTGACTTAGAGGATAACAATTTGCAACAAACTGATGCAAATAAACAGTGGGAGGAAAAATCAGGTTGAAAAGAGGAAGATGAAAAAAAGATAACCAAAGAAGGCGAACAAGAACCCAAAAGATATTCACATTTAAGCAACATTTTTCTTCTCATTTCATCATTTTCTTCATTTTTTGTCACAAACTCGAGTCAACATGCAATATTACATCAAGTTGGTAAGATGAAATTATGCAAATTCAGTTTCAACCTACAAATACATTTCTTCATTTTTTTGTCTACTTCTTTCTTCTCACTGTTGATGATGATTATCATTATCATCAGCAGCAACATCACTCTTGATTGACATTAACCTGGTTTTGCCTTTTATATTTGCATCTTCTGAACATGTCAAATTGATCAGTATAATTGAGCTTAAGATGTAATCTACAGAATTCAGTATATATTCATTCATCTAAACCATTATTCTTTCCTTTTCTTATTCATCTTCATCTTCATTCTCATCTTTTCTTCTTCTTTTCATCCTTTTCCATCTCCATTGTTGTCTTTCAATTTGCATCTTGATACGAAACTGATTTCACTATCTGTCAATCTCTGTAGTTATGTTCAGTGTACAAAAAGTGTTTGACATTGTTGACGATAAATTGTTTCAGTTAAGGTTTTCGACTAAATTGTCGCCAAATTACATTACATTTAATTTAACCCTTCACATTTAATCCAAATTTATCCCTTTACTTTTAATCATCATCTTCGCATTTTCCCTTTTTTAATCATTCTCTTCATCTTTCCATTTATCTTTTGTCATTTTAATAGAGTTGAGTCGTTCATCAATTTTATTCAATTTTGAATAATTAGTTGAACAATTGAAAGTTTCAATTGAAAACCTTTGCCATTCATCATGTTTGCCTAAGCATGTTCAGCTAATTATCAATGCAATTGTTTAATTTGAAGTTAACTGAAGATCCATTATTGAGATGCATTTAAAAGTATCAATGCGTTCATTTACAAGTTTCACCTTTTTTTGGTGTTTCTTTAGGCTCTTTAGGCTTCTCATTTGCTGTTATTAATATCATAATGAAATTATTTTGCTGTACATGATAATCAGTCTATTCTGGGTAAATTTAGTTTAACAATGGATAACATGATGTTATTAATACATGAACAAAATATCTAAAGGTTGATGGTTAATGGAAACCAAGATGGATTGGGAAAAGGTTGCCAGGTTTAGAGTGTTACATTTTTCCCTGTAATCAGCCTAATCGAAGTGAAATATTTTCTTAATATCAAATTAAGCAAGTTTATTGAATTGAATTAACTTTGTTTTTGTTTGAATAGAAGAAAAGAAAGTTTAAAGAAATGCTTGATTAAGCTTGATAAATAGCTGGATAGAGTAAACAGAAGTCAAACTTGTATCAACATTAAAGCAAAATTAATGTTAGATAAAAAGTAAAAAGTTATCAAGCAAACTGTAAACATAATTAGAAGATTTAATTTCAAATAAATCAAAGATAATTTACATTTTTCTAATTTACAATTTATCAAGACTTTTAAAGGATTGTTTAATGTGGCTTGAGCCAATGTTATAACAGTCTGGTAATTTTACACGTTAATTGTGCGAATACGTTTTGAAAATTTACATGATTGATTTCGCTAATTTCAATGCTCGAATGGATCTTCTTCAACAAGTTTTAAACTAAATTAGCCAGATCATTGTATTGATAGGCCTATCAAAAGATCGGAACAAAATATAGAGGAACTTTTTACTACGCATAAGTTTTATTCGTCACAATTAGTACGATAAAATAACGTATGGGGGATGAAAATAAAAAAACTGAAAACATTAATTATCATAGTAATCCAACGCATGAGTTAAAACTAGATGCTAGAAGTTTATGATTAAAACTTCTAGCATCTCCTGAATCGCACTTGATCGGGCAGATAATTCAGGCTCTAAAATGCAAATCGATCAGCTCCATAAAATAGTATCCTTCGAGATCAAAATAGGTCTCATATGTCATGACAATTGCACTATCCTTGATTAAAGTCCGCAACCTTCGAAGTCGAGTCTTTTGACGTTGCTCCTGTTCCTCTGACACTTCCGAGGACTTCTTTTTTTGCACTTTTATGCCAATTTTCTATTTATGATTTTGCAGTCTTATGGTCCATACCGATTGTACGTCTGACTGCTTGAGGGTTTTTAGTCATCTAAAAGCAAAAGTTTATGAATATGACTGCTAATTATAATATCAGAAATTCAGATTGTGAATTAAGTCGAAACTATCTTCATCCGACCTTGACTACTTTAAATGCCCCATGAGTCCGACCAAAGTCAGAACTAAACATGGGCCATAATTATGTTGTGGGAAACAGCGTTTTTGCTTAGAATTGATTTCATAATATGTTAATAAAGTTCGGGATGTGTAATAACTGAAAATGAAGCTTAACAACTAATTACCCGTCAACATTACTACCTGTACTAGCAAAATAGCAGCACGAATTACAGAAATTTCAACATAATTATGAATAGTTGTGGATATTTTCAGCCATGCGTTCTTAACTAAACTGTTATCAACGGAATTTCGACAGAACAAGCAATAATCTGAATTTATCCTCAATATTATTTCTGATTTTGTAAAAGTTTCAAAATGCGTTACCTGTGAGTAGAAATCGCAAGAAAAATGTGATCTAGAAAACTTAATTGAGTCTCTATGAATGACTTGTAACAAACTTGAACTAAACTTCAATATTTAAAATAACCAGTAATAATGAATGCAGATTCCATTATCAAAGCAATGAAAATTGCATTCCCAACTCATCTGTATTTATTGTTACCGAATGATAAGTTGTTATTGAATTTTAATACAAAAACTAATCAAAACTTCAGCTCTACTCTATTTGATTCCTAAAAATGAATAAATGTTTACTTTGCAAGGACGATTCACTTTCCTTCCTTCACTCTTCATTAATATCATCACTGGGAATGAAAAATGTATGATAAACTATGTGACTTATAATACTTTGATTGATTTTGTCATTTTACTTCTTTTCATTGCCTCATATTATTATTTATGACCCATTCTTGATTGTTTATCACGATAATACAGATAATTCTTTGATAATATTTTACTCCTCCCAGTCCTGTAACTCTTTTATTTTTAGTCTAAAAATTTTTTCTTCTGTTTTCATCTTCATTTCTTAAATAATCCCTCTTCAGAATGGAATAGAATTGCAATTAGAATTTCTTTCCTTTCCCTTTATCTCTCCATTCCTCTATCAAATCCAATATCACCTCACTCAACATCATTTTTTTTACCTCCTTCATCATCATGTGTGTTCATCATTTAAGAATAAAAGGAAAGAAGAAAAGGATTTACCTGGGATCATGAAAAGAAAAGAGAAGAGATCACAAGGCTGAATTGGTGACACATTAACACAGACGAAGAGAGCAAGAAGTTATGATGGTAAAGACGATGATCATGATCATGATGAATTTTTGCTGCATAAAAGTAAAAATCTGTCATTTTCTTCCTTTTCCTTCTTTTTCTGTGATTCCTTGAGTAACGAAGAAAAAAAAATACATGAACTTTAAGATGATAGATATTTGTGTTATCATTATGTTAACCTGGAACAACAGAAAAGGGAAACCCAGAGAGAAGCTCATTGATACATAAAAACACGCAGATAAGCACAATTGTCAGATTGATAGTAATCTTTCATTTCCAAATGATGATCCATTTATCCTTCAACTTTGGATTAATCAGTTTTCACCCGCATTAACCTTCATCTTTTATCCTTAATGATATTTCACTGTTCATCATTCAACCTCGCCCAATCAAGATGCAATTGTTGAAAGATGAATTGCAAACCATTTCCAAGATAATCATCATCATCACCCTAATTATCATAATTATTGTACCTTTCACTTTATTAACATGATCATTAACAAATTGACCTTTTTTTCAACCTTCTTCAACCTTCTTCTTCTTCTTCTTTGTATTGACAATTTTAAACACGATTAATGATTAACTACAAATGTCTTTCAAAGTGAAAAACTTTCATCGATTGTTCAACTACAATGTCAACTCTTCAGTTTCATTGTATTGCCTCATGATTCCTGATCTTTATCATGAAGAAAATTTTCTCATTGAAAAAGAGTGAAAATCTTGCCATCATTTACGTAGACTAATTTTGCACTCTTGATTGACGGTGAATAATCAAGAAGACTATTTATCAATAAGGAAAAGGCAAGAAATGCTGATTCAAAAGTGTTCAGAAAAAAGGTGAAGAGAAAAAGATTTTCAATGGAAAATCAGTTGATGGTGCATTTCAAGTCCGATCAGAATAATCATGTAAAGAGTAAAGTCAAAAATGATCGTTAACAGTTTTTCTGATTGATTTACATTCGAGTTGAATAAAGTGAGAGAATATTGAAAAATTGAAATTGATCAATTGTCTGATTAAATCATTTCAATGATTACTTTGATAATGATGCAAGTTGATCATTTTCAATTGAAAGTTAAAGGGAAAAAGCTATTAAGTCAACTCATTATGAGAATCGTTTTGATGAACATCAATCAATGGGTCAATAAATTTACAATGAGAGGATAATGTGATTAAAATGGAAAGATTAGAGGAAATTGAATGAAAAGATTTAATGCAATTTTTCATTTGATATAAAACAGATTGAAGGTGACTTTGGATTCCCTGTTCATTTTCAATCCTGGATTCTGGGCAAATGTTTGGCAACTAATGAGGATAACTGTCTATCTACTTATGGTATAACCTCATCTGGATGTCCAATATTTTTATATTTACTGTCCAAAAGTGAAACTAAGAGTGAAACAGCTCAGCATGATGACGATGAGGACGATGATGATGATGATGGTGAGAAGGTGGACAAAAATGGAAATGCTGATGAAGATGAAGAGGAACAAGAGTGTGTTGATAATGGTTTAAAGGAAATTAAAGGTGCAACTGAAATGGTTCAACAATCAATACCAATTGTTGGAACATTAACTGGTCAAAATGATGATGAAAAGGGTAAGAATGAGCTGGCAGGGAGTTTGACGAGTAAAAGTGTTAATGCAGCTATTAAAGGTCCTTCAAATGGTCCTAGTGATTCAACGTTGCTCTCAAGTGAACCTTCAACTGTTAATGAAAAAGATATTATTTCAGTGAGGAAAAGGTCAAAAGGAAAAGTAAAACCATCATTATTATTGTTATCAAATTCAATTGCAACTTCAACATCAACCTTAACCTCACCATCAACATCAACTGTTCAATCAACTACAATGAAACCAACGACAAAGATAATAAAATCAACAGCTCATGGTGAGAATCGAGATTACAGGGGAAACACTGGATCCAGGCAAATGAATAACTCAACACTCCCAGTTGGCTCATTGAAAAAGCATCACCCAAAGGTTAGTCGTAACTCATAACAGTTATTCAATCGAAAGTGAAAAAATCAAAAGATAAAATTCCAATGAAACTTTTAGCGACAAAAACATCGACAAAAGTAAACAGGAAAAGTTTTTTTCTCAACTAATTGTCTAATTTGATATTTTTCACTCCCAGCAAGTTGAACTGTTTACTCGCTTCAAGCAATAATTATCAATATTTACGATTCCCTGTCAATTGAAACATTTCCCTTGAAATGGTAAACAAATGAAGGAAAATATTGAAAAGAGTAAAACTGATTTTTTCCGAAGATTAATGTTAATTTCCTGAGTTTTTGGTCAATCAAATTATTGTAAATCACTTTGTCATCAATATTAATCAGGCAACAATGAACTTAGGATGGTTCATGATCATTATCTTTTGTGAGTAAAGGAGAAAAATTTGTTATTCTTATTCCTTGAAAGTTTGCACATTGAGATATTAAATGTGATACATTTTGCTCCATCATTTCATGCTCATGTTTAGTATGAATTAAATGAGTCAAGGTGATAATGATGATGATAGTTGCTGGTCATGTTAATGATAAAATGCATAATAACACTGAAGAAACATTAATGTTCATCATAATGATTTACATTGAAACTTGAAGTTACATTTTTTCTTCTTCTTTTCGCCAAGGTAAACGTTCAATTTATTAAATAACAAAATCATTACCATTATTTTTATTATCATTATGATTATTATCATTATTACAGCTATTAGCATTAAAATAAGGAACAAATTGTTTATTCTGTTTTTGTTTTCTCAACCTTTGCGTTTCTCTGTGTGTTGCTGAATAGCTCAACAATTGTACATATTATCATTATTGTTATTCACACACTTTGGGAATTCACTCAATTAATAGTTTCAATGTTAATATTGTAATGATGGATGATGAATTATGATACAAATTAGAGACTTTTTTCTATCTTTCCATCATTTCCTTCATTCCATATGATTATGCTAATTTCATACTTTAACAATTGGATTAACAGATTGTATCAAATGTGATTTGTGTATCGTTATTATTCAAAGAAAATGTTTTTTTCGAAACTTTTGTCCGTCAAAACGAGATGAAAATAATTGCTGCATTAATTTTAGTAGATTGAGACATAATCGCTAATAATGCTAGTTCAACCAAATCAGATAAGTTTTCCAACGAATGTTCTTGAGATGTTTTTGCAGTTGTCGATTAAGATTGTCATTTTTTCTTGCATTTGATTTGAGCATTTCGAATTCACCCGGAGAGGCCCAGATTGTTTCTGGATATTAAAATTAACTTTAATCTGAATTTTAGTTTGTCTTTCATTTGTCAAACGGTTACCGTTCTAACGATACGAAAACAAACATTTTAATCATAAAGTCAATAAGTTTGTCAGTTTATTGTGTTATTTGTTTAGTTTTTTATTTACCTTTTTCTCTTCGTTCTCCTTCAATTATGATAAAGTTTGCCTCTTATGAGCACACAAAAATCCCAGACTGGGAGTTTTCACTCCCAATATTCCAACAGTATTCTACTTTTTGTTACATTTAGCATTGCAGACTTTATTTAGCTAATGACAGTTTTGCAGTTTAACTTTTACACAAGCAACAATGAAAAGGCAAAACAAGTAAAATGCAAGAAAAATTAACATCTATAGAGATTACACAGTCTTATTATGTAAACTCACAACGCTCGCAAGCTCTGCCAAGTCAAGATACCAATCAATTAAAAAAGAAATTGAAAATTTCTGATTATCAAGATGATGCAAATTCCAAAATTGCAAGGTTATTCAAATTAATGTTTCATTGCTGGAGATGCAAATTCAGGCTGCTGATTCGGAATCTGCAAGTGGCCCATATTTGATGAAATCCAAGCTTATCATTATGATTCAAGTTGGACGTGAGCAGTTTTACAAGAAAAACCTGAGCTACAAACTTTGACAAAACCAGATTGCAATATGAACAAAAGTCAGATAAACAAATGATGCTGCACAAGCTTGAAGAAACCCTTGAAACCTGAAATTTATGGCTCTTCAATCGAAAGTTATTTACCACTAAAATATCACTTCTTTTTGACGTAAAGGGCTTACAATTTTATACAAGCAGTAAAATGCCCTGTATTTAACTTTTCTGGTTTTGCCAATTTTTCCACGAATCAAGTCTCTACCTTGAAACCATTTGTTACGCCTTATCCTTTTGTGACTCTTTCAATCTCACAATAATATCTTTTCCCATCCAATGCATTTTTCATTTGATAATATCATGAATTGCAACCAATTCTCCCCTGGGTCCTGTTGCTAAAGATTTGATTCTTTGACAACAAACCAAAAACTCTTATTGTCCAGTCAAATAAATTTGCGTTTTCACACAACAAGCTTCCCAGTAGTTTGTACATTTGCCAACTTTGCCTTTCCCTTCAAACTAATGAACAAACGACAATAAAACAGAAACCAACAAAACCAGATTGAAACACGAATAAACAATGTTTGACTTCGGAGTCAAAAATGGAATCGAAAGCAACTTCGCCTCAACCAGTTTACACATTGAATATCATTCGATAATGAAACAAGAATATCAATAAATGATATTATAGTTATGCTTACTGACCTTAAATCAATCTATACATGTATATATACTTCTATCAATTTTATTATTAATGTAATTGTTTTCTTTCATCATTATTCTCATTGTCTTTGGAGGCAAAAATTTTTATCAGTACATTAATAATAATGTGTAATTACCTTGAAGGAACAAGATGAAGTTTCGCTGTTTTTACTTGTTTGCTTTTTCTTTTCTTCTTTCTTTCCTCTTGTACTTATTGAATGGACTAACAAACAAAACAATCAACGAGTTTATTATCATTTATTGTGAATGTACATCGCAAAGCTAAATGATTGACATTTCCAACCATATTCTTTGTGCAAAGATGAACATTTTTCTTGTTTCCTCTTCTCTTTGTTTCCCATTCATTATATTGCTATCATTTTGCGTTCCATTGGTTCCAAGTATTGTTCCTTGATTATCAGATAAAAGGCCAAAACTAGAGTAAAGATTCAAGGTGACTCTAACTGATGGTATTGTTGGTCAGTCGAAGAGAGAAAAGTTGATCCAAAACATTTTCCCTTGTTGCTTATATCTTTTCCAGCCTCAAGGGGAATCCAATATTTACTAGTTTCAATAGTTGATGGAATCATTTTTGCTCAAGTATTTTCTCATTTATTAATCTCTTCAATTGTTGACCCACTCAGTTTTACCCAAAAACATTTTATTATTTATTTCCATCCAGAGATTTGATAATCATAAACTATAACCATGACTTGTGACCCAATTTACCGTTGCAAGTTTCTCATTACATTTCAAGTGAATCGTCAGTGACAAAATCAATTTATGAGAAAAACAATTTTCAAGAAATTTCGATTCTCCAAACGGTTCAGACAAATAGTCTTGATTAATATGGATTCATGTTATTTTGCATTTTGTAACACGAAACGCAAACCAACTCAATCCACTAACTTAGTTAATCTGTTTTAGTCTTGAAATGGCTCTTCATAAACATTAATCTTTTCAGTTATTTCCTGGGTAAAAGTTTCGCATGCAAATTCAACTAATTTCATGATAAAGTTGATCTTTGAATTGTTTTTCAATGAAAAGCTTCGAATCTCAAATGGCTAAAAAAGACAAATGTTGAATTTGAATGTTTCCAATAAAATCGAGTCAATTGTTCAATTGAAACAACATTCAATATTAAGTTACTTATCATTGCTAGTTGAACGTGCAAGTCAAACTAAGTTAACTTGGATTATTTGGGTTTTCATGAAAAGTTGAATTCAAAATTAAAAATGTAAATGCTGGAAATGAAGTTGAATCGAAACATTTTGCGAGAGTTTCGTAGGTTGATTTTTGCCATTCGAGAAGCAAAAGTGTTGTGGTTGAGTGTTTTGAGTCCTTTAGTCAATATTTAAGGTTGCTTGCTATTCTTCGTTGGTCTGGAAATGTCTGAAGGAAACTTTTCTGGTTGAGGTGCAACCCAAAACCTAATGGATCAAATGGTTTTGTTAATTAACTAATTGTAAATTGGTTCACTCCATGTTTCTCTAACCACACTTAACACTGGTTAAACTCACTGTTTTACACTCTATTTGATTCAGTCAATTGATAATTTTGAGACACTTATAATCAATATAATTCAAGTTGAAATGAACCTGGAACTTGAAGTTGGTGAAAAGGTGTTTACTCAAGGTGTTGAATCATTCTTATCTCATCTCAATGGTGAACATTTTCCCATTGAAGTGAAATTTCATTCATCACTGGTTGTTTCCAGTTAATTGGAGATTTTTTTTCTCTTCTCTTTCAACTCTTGAATTATCTGGTGTTACTCATTGGAATTGATTGGAATCAGACTAAACCAAGAGTAAAAACAAAAATGCAAGCAAAATAAACAGAAAGGATTACAGGGGCTGAGTAAAGAATAATAATAACAATAATGATGAGAATTGGTGGAATAGCAAGAAAAGCAAAATGAAGTTTAACTAATGAAGAGTGTTGTTGACCTGCAATTCCATTGGAATTTGGTTCAACAATTGAAAGGAAATATTACAAGAATGAACAAAGAACTTTGTAAGCACAAGAAAGTTGCTTTTGTAAGCCTTAAAAGAATCTGAATGTTATCATGGATGGAAAAGGGGTGAAATGGAGAGAAGAGAGGAAAAAAGGTCAACAATAGTGTCTTACATGATGAGACAAAATTTGAGATCAATTGACCAGTGAAAATAGTTGGGCAAAAAGTAAAATAACATGAAAATAACAAACCATTGAACCCATTCAACCATAAATATACAGATTGTCTTTTGTCTTTTCACATTTCATATCTCACTGAACTTACACATCTGAATATAAGAAACACCTTTATACATGAATTATGGTCACTTATAGTAACCATTTATATTATTAAGCCATTAGGATGACTTGAAATTAATGGCCGTTTGCCAGACTCAAGAGATTC